ACATCATATTGAACCCTATGGATTAGGAATGGGATGTCACTTACAGTAAGTTCATATGCGAGTAAAGACAGGTGAGTGAATACTTTTGGCAATATAGTGTAAATTCCCTGATATTCCATATTCTATAGATTTCAGTTTTATCTTTACATTTAATAGTTTTTTATTACACATAAATTGAGAAAATTATTGAAACAAGACAATGTATACCAAATATTTAGGAGACAGCATCTTTACTAAAAAGATATCTTAGCATACCTTTCTCTAAGTCATGTTGGTGACATCACTGGAGTGCTAGCCTCAGTGAAAATACCATGGACTGCAACAAGATCCTTCAAAGTAAGCTAAAGCTCTGAAAACTGCCTATTGCATATCAGCTACTCACTATCTAATTTAAGAAGAAAACGAATGCTTACCCTACTTAGTAGCAAGTTGAGATCCACATACTTTTACACATGAAGTTGTTAACTGAACAACACTGGTTTGAAACAAAAATGATACCCCCAAAGGTATGCAGAGGAGACATAATTGAACTTACATATCTCCTCTAATTAGTCTAATTAGGCATAATTCATAATCCTATAGATTTATCTCACTTGTTAGCCAAATACATGAGTTCCTTGAGTCTAGTAAGTTTTGTTCTTTTATTTTACCAAGACACCAAGAACATTTCCAGATCCATTACAACTCTAACACTTATTGGATTCTATATTATTATGAAAATTATTAACTCCAAGTAGAGATTAATATATAAACTACTTTTCTCCCTCACTTCCATATCATCATTCCATTGCCAACAGGATTTCAGAAGTATGAAACTTCAATAGTTGAGCATTCTTGACTGAAGGGAAAAATGTTATAATTTTATACATATCAAGTCATACATTAAGTGATTCTAGATTTTTGAGATTGATACCTCATGCTCTATTGAATTACAGCATCCTACCATTCAGAAAACCTCAGTACCTGCATCTCAATATATCTTGAATCAGACTTTTTCTTTCTCAATTCTTCTTTAAATTGTTCATCTAAGTCACTATCAGGCATATTTTCTTGTAAGAGATAATCTGAATCTTGAACCAGAAATGATTTTTCCACTGCTGGCCTTCTCTTTTCAGGAGCCTTCTCCACAACAGGATTTTCCACCACAGGCTTTGTTTTAGTAGGAACCTCCTTTGCACAGCTGGAAAAGAATAATTGTAAGTATTCCTACTGTGAAAAAGTGCATGTTATTGAAATGTACATTTAAACATAAAAGTCTGATCTATAACTATTTGTTTATCTACAATTAAGTAGATGCTATTAATTTCAATTAATCTTGCAGAATCAAATTTTATCTGTACTTTGTTTTCACCTGTATTAATCTGCATTCTCCCTCTGCCTACATCACTATCTCAAATAAGCTGCAGTCTAAAACTTTAATTATATGTGTAAGGTATAACATAATGTGCTTATCTCTCTGATCTCAGTGGGCTGTTGACTAGTTAATTCAGATACAAAAAAAATCTATTGTCAATGGATACAACATTCAGAGAAAGTGTTGGGAATAGTATTTAGAATAAGACAGTAAAGGACATTATCATCATAGGCAATCAAACTTCAGCATGTTAGTTATTCACAGGTCTAAAGTTATCACATAATTTAAAGTTTTAGACTTTGAATTTAATATGTTCATTAATAAATACCAAAAGTTCACTTAATTTGTCTGTCTGATATTGCCAATACCAATGGACAATGACTCAAACCAAAAGGCTCTATTATA